CATAGCGATCTAGGAAGTACAACCTTACTGTGTGCCAAGAAGTCAGAGAGTGAGAAATGTTCGATGATCAGCATTAATGAACAACATCTTTTGTAATTTCCTTTATTTTTCTTTTAAAGTTTTACTAACTTCATTTCCTGGATTCCTGCTTTAACTTTTTGTTCTTTTGGCCTTTTATGAGTCCTTATTTTCTTGCCACTTCAATGAAGTATTAAAATTTTTTATTTAATATTTTATCCATCTAGGTTTTTTTTTTAAATGGTAGTTTGTCTTGTATATCTAGCCCAGTACACTGCAGACAGGAGATACAGTAATCTTGCCACTCACTTTCAGTGGTTTAGAAATACTGACCAAGGTACCAAGAATCACAAAACCACCTTTCTGTGGTGGTTCTATTGTCTGAAAGTCAACAGAACCAATCTCATCCTTTTTTCCACTAAATAACTCTTCGATCATAACCAAGTCATTTGCCCTCTTGGGTCTGCCTTTCTTAGCTCTAAAGCATGTAGTTTTGTATAAATGACTTTTAAGGGCATGCTCCAATATACCATTCATTTGTCAGTTTATTTCACTGCAGAATATATGTTTTATATGTTTTTTTATTATCTCAAATTCCAAACCCAATAGTCCTTTTTCAAAGGCAGGCCTGTTGCCCCTTAAGGTGTTTTGTAGAAGTTCTTGACTCAGAAATGCTATTAGAGAACAGGTTCTTGTCCTTGTCTTGCATCCTATAGATGTGCAACATCAGCATAAAGAGATGTTAGAAGGAGGCACCCTCTGCTACCATGTCATTACTTTGCTACCATGTGAACTCAGCTCACCTGCCTCCTGCAACACCAGGAGCAAAAAGGATACCTAGGCATTCCTACTGAACTAGAAAGCTGGAGGGCAATTTAATATAGTTTATTCTTACCTTAGAAATGCTTTGGTCATCATCCAGTCAATTCCCTGGACCCTCTCTATCTAACCTATATGTCATGGTAGATTCCAAAGGAAAAGGAAAACATAATTTTGAAAGACCATCATGTTTTAAAAATATAGGTATTTTCTCCTCATGATTATATTTAATACTCACAGCAATCTATGATGGAAGTATTATTATATCCTCTTTTGGATGAGGAAACTGAGATTCACAGAAGATAACTAATAGATTCAAGACTTAACATGTGACCTGCACTGACTGATGAAGGTAAGAGTCATTGTTAGTGAAATTACATGAGAGATATAAATCTAAGTAAAAAGAACTCCTTGCCTCAGTACTATGTTGCAGGTTCATGGTTGAAGTAAGAGCCCCTCTGTCATGATGAGGCCGTACAAGGCAGCCATGGAAGCTTAACACATCTTCTGATGCTCCAGGCTGAAGAGCATGCCTTTGAACTCCCGCTGGCCTAGGCTGGTGTCCCAGACTTGAGGATGTGAATTGTTACAACTTTCTTTTCTTTTTCTATTGGCCTCTTCCCAATGTGATTATAGATCTAAAGAAAATTTTCAAGAATAGTGCAAAGAATTCCCCTACCTTCTCCCAGAATCTTTAAATGCTGACACATTTTCACATTTGTTTTGTCATTCACATACACATACTCATTTTTATGAACTCTTTGAAACTAAGTTATAGACATGAATACCATTAACAACCCAGTATGTATTTTCTAAAAACAAGGACATTCTGTTACACAACCATAGTACAATTGTAAAACCAGGAAATTAACATTGATCAGATTCTATCATCTAACCTTCAGATTGGGTTTGCATTTCTCCACTTGTCCTTTATATCAGAAGAAAACCCTGAATTGCATGTTGTACTCAAATCTTCGTCTTTTATGACATTGACACTTTTGTTGGGAACAAGTCTGATATATTTTAGAATGCCCCTCATCTTTGAGTTTTCTTATGATTAGTTTCAGGTTATAAATTTTTGACAGGAATACTCCAAAGCTGATGTTCTGTCTTTTTCAGTGCATGAGGTCAAAAGGAGCATGATGTTATCTGTCCTATTTACATACATACTGACTTTAGTCATTGGTTAAGATAGTATCTGCTAGGTTGCTCCACTGCAAAATTACTATTTTTTCATTTGTAATCAATAATTTTCTTACAGCACAAAACTTTTGGGCCTTGGTAAATATCTGAGTCCCATCAAGTTTTCACCACGAGTTTTATCATCTATTTATGATTCTTCCCTTAATTAACGAATACTATGATGCTTGCCAAATAGTGCTTTTTCTAATTCTATCATTCCTTCGTTTATTAGATGGCCTTCTAATTCCAGGAAAACCCTTTGCTTCTTTCTCATTTGTGTTTTGTTTAGTTATTTATATTTTTATTGAAGTATACATAACAAAATATTATATTAGTTTCAGGTATTGAAATTCAACATTTATTATATACATTATGAAATGCTCACTATAGGTATAATTAACTTGAATCACTATACAAAGTTATTACAATATTATTGACTATATTTCCTATGCTGTATTTTGTATCTTCATGACTTATTTATGTTATAACTAGAAGTTTGTACCTCTTGTTCCCCATCACCTATTTTGCCTATTCCCAAACTCCTTCCCCTGACACCCACCAGTATGTTCTCTGTATTGATGAGCCTGTTTCTGGGTTTGTTTTTGTTTTTGTATGTTTGTTTGCTCATTTGTTTTGTTTTTTTGGATTTCATATATATATATATAAACATATATATGTGTGTGTGTGTATGTGTGTGTGTGTGTGCATATATATATATATATCATTCTCTATGTTTGTATAGAGTCCATGTTGCAAGTTCCTTAACCTTCACAAGCCTCAGTTCTTCATCTGGACAATGGCAGTGATAATATTTAACATTTAGATTCATTGTGTAGATAAAATAAGTTAATAAATATAAAGTTTTCAAAATCAAAAGCATCAAATAAATTAGAGATATTTGTACTAGCAATAATAGTAATAATAATAATAATAGTCCAACTCTCTTTTTTCATATACAGCAGACCTTCCAAACCTGTGGTTTTCCTTCCATCGTTTCAGTTACCCATAGTCAACCACTGTCCAGAAGCAAGTGACCTTCCTTCTGGCTTATCATCAGGTCAGCAGCCTAATGCCATGTCACAGTGCCGGTGTCATTCACCTCTCTTCATCTCATCACATAAGCATTTTATCATCTCATAGCATCATCTTCATCATGAGAAGGGTGAGTGAGCACAGTACAATAAGGTATTTTGAGAGAGAGAGACCATATTCACATCACTTTTATTGCAGCATAGTGTTATAATTCTTCTATTTTATTATTAGTTATTATTATTGTTAATTTCTTATGGTGCCTCGTTTATAAATTATACTTTATCATAGATATGTATGTATAGGAAAAGCATAGTATATACAGGGTTCAGTGCTGTCCATGGCTTTAGGCACCCACTAGGGGTCTTGAAATGCATCCCCAATGGAAAAGGGGGCACTACTATAGAGAGATTTAAGTACCATCTTCTCTCAGTACTTTATGATCTCAGACAACCCATTTAACCACTCTTGGTCTCATTCTTCTCACTGAAACAAAGGAGTTCGGTTAAATGGTCTCTAAATTCAATTACAGTTCTAGTGTAGGAAACTAAGATTTTGTATCTATAAAACATTTGTACATAAATCCATTTTCTTCCAACAAACCATCAAATATTCTGTAATAACTTTGCAATATGAATATCCTCCATAACTCTTAGCCTTCTTCCAAAATTTCAAAGGATATATATTTTGTCTCTGAATAAACAGTCTGACTATTCCATTTAATCATACTTTACATTTTAGTAATATTAGTTGGTCACAGCTATTTTCCAACTATATTGATAATTTTTGACAAAATGTGAAGTAGCTCAAGACAGATGGTTTGTAGTTCCAACAGTTGGGGTTTATTTTCCTCTGCCAGCAAGGTCTGTGATCCTTCAAGGGACTATGGCCTCAGACAACATACTGGCTCTGATTTCCATGTGAAAAAGGAAGAATTCGAACTTCAAAAATTTCTTTCTAAAACACAGAAGTCATATCATGAAGTGTAACCAGTTTATGGCTTGGAGTTTTTCTACATATAGCCTGGCACCTTGTGGAAATGAACGCTGTATTAATGGAAAGTTAGTAAATGGGTTAATCTCATTAATAAACCTTTCCTATAGGACAGATTGTCTGGACAGCAGAAAGGGCCCTGGACTTGAAACTCACATTAATTATCATTCAAGAAAGAAATGAGTAGCTTTGAGCTCTCAAACTGGATGCTTGGGAGAATGGTGGTGACATTCATTAAAAAGGGGAACTGCAGAAGGCACCTCTGCTCGCCATCATCACTGAAAAAGAGAATCAGGGAAATGGAGGGATGTAGGAATTCAAGCACTAAGTTTGGCCTTGGGCCTCATATTGTAACTAAAGAATAAACAAAAAAGATAGCCAGGTGGAAAAGTGGGTGGTGGCAGTTGTGGGGGACTGGTGTTTAGTGCTCATAAGGAAAATTTTGACCTTGAAGAGTATCTGAGGCTCAAATTTGATTTGAATCCAGGCTCGAATTAGAGAAGTTTTCAAGGTTCTTTATTTAAGCTCCAAGAGAGAAATTAAACATTCAGAATTTGGGTAAAAAAATTCAAAATGTAAGCAGTTACAGGATTGTGAATAAAGCCATGGTCATTGGAATCAGATTGATGTGATGGATCTAAACTTAGACCCACAAAATGCTATGTCTGAGACCTTGAGCAAATATGGAACTTCTCTAAGGGCTAATTCCCTCATCTGCAAAATAATCATACCCAACATAGTATATGGAGACTATTTAGCAAAGTAGTGCATAAGGAGACTTAGTACAATATATGGCCCATAATAAATAGTGATTAATTATGATGATATTATCATTTTTACTATTAGAATTTTACTTGAATACCCATTTATAAAGTCTTGAAGACCAGGAGACCAAACATGCAAAATTTTTAAAAGTCGATACTTTTCTTATCGAAAAAGAAAAGATCCAAAAGAATTTTTTTTATATGGACTGCGTTACAAATTTGTGTGTCATTCTTGTGCAGAGTCCATGCTAATCTTCTTGGTATCCTTCCAGTTTTTGTGCTGTTGAAGCAAGCACCAAAAAAATATATAGTTTGAAACTATATTATGAAATATATACTATGAATAATATAATAATAAACTCTATAATATGAAATATAATTTATATTTCATAAACTCTAACTTCCTGGCATCAATTACTTGAATGTTCTGTATTTTCATCTATATATAGGGTGATGGTAATTTATAGCCACATGTATGAACCTAAAGCTCTCAGAGTTTCTCATTTATTTTAAAAAAATGGTTGAAATTAAAACAATTGTCATTAAGTCATTAATTCACTTATTCATTTAACACACATTAAATGCATTCTATATGCCAAGCACTTGATAGGTATTGGGGATTTGGGGATAAAAAATAGGAAAGACAATGCTTACAGATGAGTAAGGACATTAAAAAAATCATTTTATTATGTGTAATTACAAACCTTGATGAATACCTTGGATAAGAAGCACAGCAAGTTGTGAAGTCATGTAAGGAATTCAATGTCTGGAAGTTCAAAGAAAGCCTCTGGAGGAGTGATATTTGAGCTGTGATCTGATAATTCCATTGAGTGGTGGAGGGAAAGGAGGTAAAGAGTGTTCCAAGCAGAGGGAATAACATGTGTTAGGACTCTGCAGAAGGAGTGTGCAGTGTAACTTAGAGAAGAGAATGAAGGGAAAATCAACTTCCTCAACCAAGTAGATGTGACAGCAATAGAGGAGCACCACCTAGGTCTCTATCCCCAAGAACTTTCTCTGAGAAGCATGGTTGACTGGCAGCCTCCAGCCAGCCTGCCTTGGATCCAGTGAAGTGTTCATACCGAGCCAAAGCTTTTGCCAGTCTACTCCCAGCCAACGACTAAGCTCAGTGGCGGGTACCAGAGCCAGGTCACTCCCACTTGACATGAGATGCCTTTAATTGGCAACTTTTGCTTACAGACTTCCCATCAGTCTAGCCAATATTTTCTCAAATTCAACTGGAGTGTGAGGCTTTTCCTACTCCTCCTCCTTCTTTCCCATTTTCCTCTTGGAGTTTTCAGATATTTGCATAGTGATCTGTAGTCTCACACCGCCTACTTATTCCCTTACTCTTTATCATTCACACACTTTAGATCAATCCGAAATGTATCGTTTTCATCTTATAATGGACTACTTGTGGCCCTATCTGACTTAAAATTGGTGACTCTGACATAATCCAGCCCATAATGGGTAGTTCCAGGTGCGTGTTCTTTTCAAGCCCCATGAGCAAAGCTTCTGTGTCTGCTAGGACTCAGTAGCATAGCTCTTTCCCAAAAGGCATATAATTATCCGTTGCAGATGGCATGACCTTGCTCCAGAACCTCAGGGGTCTATACTCTGGTTCTCCCAATAGGGTTTACTGTAACTCTATACTATGTCTTTTCCCACCACTGACACAATTCCACAGAGTCTGCACAAGCACCTGGGTTGCTTGCACTGCAGCCTGGACCTCAAGGATAGCCTGATGAGCATCAGTAATGCCCTGGTGAGAGGGACATTGAGATCACTAAAAAGTGCAGTAGTGGCCCTGTAAGCAGGCCAAAGCTGATAGCAGGAGTAGCCTTGGAGCTGGGCTTGTGAAAGTCCTGAGCATAATTGAGCCCATATTGCTTTAGGTGGCAGTACTTAAACACCAGAAGCCAGGCCCACGTGACCTGGGCATTCTCTTCCATTAGGATGTCTTCCCAAGTCCATACTGGTGAAATAATCAGTGACTGTGGGTCAGTCTTGTGTCAGAAACTGTCTGCTTCCCCCACCTACAAATTCCACTCAGGATGAGTCTTCCTGGCCAGGCAGTTACTGAGGAAGCCAGTTCCCAAGCCTCTGATTTTTCAAAACACTCTCAATACCACATTTTTTTCCAGTTTAGGCCCTCTAAGAAGGAGACACTCAAATGGATTTGATGAACAAGAGCTTTATTGGGGGTAATGTGCAGCTGCATTATAGCCAAATTCAGGAGTGGACTTGAAAGACAGAAGAAAGAGAAAATCTTCACAAGAATAGCCTTTCTTCCAGTTTCTCATAACATCTTCCTCGTTTCCACCTGAGACTTCCCTAGAAGCAACATTAACATTCATATTCCACCAATAATCTCTTCAAGGAAATTGAGTACTTTTCTATCAATTGCCTCAAAACTCTTCCATCCTCTACTCATTATCAATCCCAAAACTGCTTCCACATTTTTTTAGGTATTTGTTAGAGCAGCACCCCACTTCCTGGTACCAAAATCTATCCTAGGCCTGCTGTAACAAAGTACCAAAGAAATGGGGAGCTTGAAATAATAGAGAGATCTGGAGACTGAAGTCTGAAATAAAGGCATACACAGGGCCATGCTCTCTCTAATGGGTCTAAGGGAGAATTCTTGCTTGACGATTCTAGCTTCTGGTGTCTGCTGGCAGTCCTTGGCTTGTAGATGTGTCACTGCAGTCACACGGCTGTCTTCTCCCTCTTGTCTTCACATCACATTCCCTCTGTCTTCCCCTGTGTCCAAATATCCCCTCTTCATAAGAACACCAGTCATATTGGATTAGCACCCACTCTAATGACTGCATTTGAACTTGATTACCTCCGTAAAGACCCCATTTCAAAATAAGATTACATTGTCAGGTACTGGGGGGCAGGACTTCAAGATACCTTTTTGGGGGAAAACAGTTAAAGCCATAACACTGTGTGAAAGGCATTAGTTACTCAGGATACAGATAATGTCCAGGTTTACTTAGGTCTGCAGAAAGGAAAGGGAGGCCCAGGCCCACAGCATCTTCCTACGGCTGAGCTTAAATCAGGCAAAAGAAAAATCCCTCTGCCCTCATTTCATTAGCCTTACGCACAGAAAAAACAAGCAACAAAAACACACCACTGAGGAAGGCAGAAAGCCATGGGTAATGAACCTGCCCTTGCAGCACATGCCTCAAGGAAAAACGAAAATGAGGATGAAGTATGTATATTGAGAAAAACCCACCAGCACTACAACTCCACCCCAAGCACAGGGCATTTTCAGAGGAAAGCCTGGGGTGCTTTGAAGGAAAGCAGTCACAAAGCCCAAGCCCCACTCAGCTCCACACTAGATTTTCTGAAACTCCCACGTTACTGGCCTGACAAATTGTGTGCCCATTTCCAGGAGTAAATGGCATTTACTGGAGTCCCTATTATTCTACCCCAGATATCTGGCATTTGATAAAAGAAGAAAATTTACAAAGACACAAAGATAACAACCCATTGTTAAAAGAAGAGATAATTCAACAGTACCAAAATCAGAAAGGAGTGAAGTGTTTGACTTTAAAACCAATGGTCAGTATGTAAAGAATATAGTGAAAAAGGCAGGAAACATATGAACATTAGTGGGCCACTCTAGCAGAGGTGGAAATCATCACAGGCAAATAACAACAGGAGCAATAACAATGACAGCATTGGAGATAAAGAATTCCTTTGAAAGGCTTATCATTAAATTTGATATAACCAAGGAAGAATCTGTGAATCTGAAGACATCAATTAGAAATTAACCAAACTGAAACACAAGGAGAAAAAAAGTTAAAACAAATAAAATACAAACAGAAAGTCAATACAGAGCAACCAAAAGCTATAAGACAATATCAAAAAGTTTAGCATATGTGTAATTGGAGCCCTAGAAGGAGAAGAGAAAGATAGTGATAAAGAAAAAATATTTGAAAGAATAAAGGCCAAGAATTTTGCAAAAAATAGCAAACAGCATCAAACCACAGATCCCAGAATCGCAGAAAACTCCAAACAGGATAAATACTAAGTACCCCATTTTGCTTATCCTCTCAAGGGCCCTATGAAGTAGCCAAAATCCATATTTTTATAGATGAGGAAGGATTGAGGGTTTTGTCCATGTTCACATAAGTTGTCGTGGAAGCAGAGCTCTGAAGGTTACCATGTATTTCTTTTCTCCATCTGCTACTTTGCTGAATTTGTTTGCCACCCCTCCTACATACTTGCTGGGCAATCATGGACCTGCTACTTAATCTCAGTTCTTCCTCTTTAAAAGAAGTCTAATTATACAGGGTTGTTTTCAGAAAATATATTTAGAGAATCTAGCACCAAAGTTGGCATAATTTTACACCCTATACAGTTTCTATGCCTTAGGACTAGGGGGGCCGTCCAGGAATCCACTCTCTCTCAGAGTTACAGCAAGAGGTAGCATGAGTTTCTTCTACCCTTACCCCCACATGATCTGAGGGTTCTATGGTTTCTATTCTTATCATGGTTGGGGAGGATGGGGGCCAGAACAGAACTTCTATGGCCTCCCATGGCCTACCTTCTGTATTCTACATCCTCAAAATGCTTTCTTACTCCCTCGCTTGGACAATCGTTATTTATCTCATGTACCTGGGGGCTTGGCTGGAGAGGAAGGGTTGGAGCTAAGTCCTCTTGACCTCGTCTTCTCCCAAGTCTTTCTCTGTTACACCTAAACCTGTTGTTTTGAAAACATGAGAAACAAAAACTTTATTTATTTATTTGCTCCTCGTTTTCTCCACTGACAGCCCACCTTTGCAGCTATACTTGTTTATTTCTGAACCTGAATGGGAGAAAGTCACAGGGTTAAATAGATGTGCACAAAAAATTTGAGAAAAAAAAGCATATCAGTTTATTATGTCACATACTATCACTATCATCTCCATTATGATGATTATTCTTATTGAGTCTCAATTAGTTTAATAAACATTCTTTATTGTTCCTAAAAGCAATCCATCCCCATTATATACATTAAATGCCAAATAAAGCATGCTGCAGACACTTTGGCAATCATCCAGCAACCTCCCAAATTATTTATGACATCTCTCCTGTATCCTGCCAGCTCCTGGCTCTCTGGTTTCGCTGCCTAGGTTCTGAGAGTTCTTACCTCTAATTCCTTGACTCCCCATCCTGACGGTCTCAACTAGCACAGTCCACCCTTGCTCTGCCCCCAGCGACCCAGATTCAGCACAGTTCCTTCCCAGGGAACATGCAGGCTCTTTCCAAGGTTGGGTGATGAGAACACTACAAAGGAACAAAGCTGCAAGTA